CTTATTTATGTAAAATAATATTCTAATTAATATTTATATTTAAATGCAGAATGATGAATCTGAAATAATATAAGAATGTTTTATGGTATGCCCTATTAGTACAAGATCTAACGTATGTCGTATGTATAATAATTAATACTGCATGATTTATCACATAGTTTTAATATATTAAGATAATAAATATATTTTATATTTAAAGTATTTTTACATAGAATTGAAATGCGAGTTGCTAAGGGGAATATGCTAATAAATACTTAGTGATATTTTATCATATAATTTCAGAGAATTTGAATGAATGTTTATTTATTGTAACTATATCAGTGAGTTAGCATAATTATGCATCTTTACCGCCTTACAAAACTCCATATAATATTAGAAATTAATTTAAAAGAATTATCAATAATGAACATATACTTGACTTAACAAGAAGGAAGTTTTTAACTGGTAAAGTAGATAATATATTTTTGCTTTAATTTTTCACTTCATTATTTAAATAATTTTATTTATATAATTTAATAATTAATAGGAAGTATAATTTAAACTTACTTAAATGGAAGAGTATTAAGTGACTTACATCCATCATTAAATAATCAGTCAAAAATTGATTATTATATTGAGAAAAGCAGACGTTCTAAGTATCCCTTTAGTTAAAATATCCTGGGGATTACACATGAGTTTATGAAATACGAAATAAGTAAGAATCCATATATTCAATCAATCTGTAAATATTTGTTTTAATAGTCACATAGTCTTGTAATATAATAAATACAAAAGCAATCAATTTCATCTTTTTTTATAATATAAAATTTAATGTTTTATTAATTTATTACAATTATTTTAATTTATTTTTAGGATTTCTAGACAATAGACAGTATATCATTTTATGTATTACTAAACAACAGACAAAAGTACTTTCAGAATTGTCATATATAGAAATAGGTATAGCATTTAAAAAAGTGTATGGAATTACTAACAAGTGGAAAGTATCTGCATATTCACATCGATTACAGAAAAGTAAGTTAAATTACACTTACTTTATGTTCAGTTTTTTATATTAATAATTTAAATATATATCTTTAACATATACACAGATATTTACAAATATTGAAACAGCAGATGCATACCAGAATTTATTTGAAGATTTATTTGGATGCATTAAAAGGAATATAGGTAAACCATTTAATTTTTATCACATTTATGAAAAGGGATTAGAATGTGTGATTGCAGATCAGTATAAGGGCCAAGTATTAGGTAAATTAATGAAACTATACTGAATTTTTTTTTGAAACATCTAAGTATTAATAATACATTTTGATTAGGATTAGGTCAATATTTAAATTCTAAATATTTGTACTTGACATCAGTTGAACATTGACAACATATCTATAAACTTTGCCAAGTGTATTATAAAAGGTAAAATAATTTATTTAATTTACTTTTAATCAAATAAATAATAAATTAATTATTTAATTTTAGAAATATTAATAAGAACAAATAATTGTCAAGTGATATTCGAAATGCTATATATTTAATACCAATTTTAAATACACAAGAAGAAGTTTTAGAAATCTTAAGTAAAATTCAGTTTTGTAATGAAATAGGAGCAGCTGGTAAATTACATTTATTATGGTTTAATATTATTAAATTATATTTATCATTTGATTTTTATTATAACTTGGGTAAAAGACAAACTCAATCCATGGATATTATCAGGATTTTCAAATGCATTTACTAAAATGAATCATACTTTTTGAAATCAAACACCAAATAATACTAATGCTAGAGAAAGTACACATGTTAACGTAAATTGTGATAGATGTAATCTTTCACTTCTTGCCAGAATTATTAGGTAAATATTCTTTATTTATAAATATTAAATATCAATTAACTTATTTTTATTTTTATTTTATCTTTAAAGAGGATAAGATTTTGATAAAAGACAATGGAAGAGTACTAATATTTATGAACAATATAATATTTCAGATACTTGTCAAAATAAATCAGAACTGGCTCGATCAATTCAGGCAAAGAAACAAGCAGGTAGATATTAGATATATATTTATTAAACTTTTTTGATTTTATTATTTAAATAATTAAATGTTTATATTAATTAAATTATTAGAAAAAAGACGTAAAAATAAACAACCTTTACTATCATCATCAACAAGTGTAGCAAAAAAGGAAAAAGCAATGGCTCTAACAAGGAAAATGCAATTGAAATCCTTGATGTAAATGAAGATCTTTATCTTGAACAGCAAAGAAAAAGTAATGGTTTGGAGTAGGAGATGTTAAACATCCAAAAACAAAAGAATGATGAACTTGAAAGGGAAATAATGCTAATTGAAAAGCGAAATCAGATGTTAGGTATATAAATCCTATAGTATTATACCTTAAATTTAACTTATAGTTTAATAAAAATCGAGAAGTTTTTATTAATTAGAAATAAAAAGAATGTATTTTTCATAGTTGAAGATAAAATTTATTTTTTTTATTCTTTTTGTAAAAATTTTAGCGTAACTTTTCTTGTAATCCAAAAATATTAAATTTCTACTTGATTGTTATTGTCTGAAGCGAAGCGAAGGACTATATAATTTTTACGAGCATTAGTGATGATTGTGATCACGTGTGATTTCCAGATGTCTTCACGCACTACGTCACTAAAAATCATTGATAAATAAACAATACACAATGAAAATGATAACATTGATAATCAAGTTTGTATTACGTATGACAAGCTAGTGTGATGAGAAGATTAGGTTATAGATTAAGTTTATTAGTAAAAAATGCTATATATTTACGAAACATTTATTCGATTTTCTGGAATCATTGAAATCAGATGTTTATTCTATTAGTGGCTTGTATTTTTGTCAATTAAACATCGTACAATGCGATTATCAGTATATTAAATTACTGGATTTATTTTTAGTGTTACATTTTAGAGTAAAATAGTATCGGTATATATTATGTAAATTATGC